CCCGGTATCACTACTCTCACCACTAGTCCTGAGGGGTTCATCTGTCCTGGATTCCCTGTGTTTCCAGTTCCTATTTGCACCACTGTACATTCTCTGGTCTAATCAGGTTTGTAAGGTAGAATTGGGACCATGGTAGTGGGGAGGGGGCGGATGGGTGGGGGCGGGAAGCGTTTAAGAACTAGAGGAAAGTTGTGTGTTTCATTGATGCTACACTGCACCCTGAGTGACTTGTCTCCTCCCCACTACCCCTCTGCAAGTGATGTCCAGTTGTCTACAGATGGTATTGGGTCCCCATCCCGCACTCCCCCTCATTCACGACGATAAGATTTTTTTATTCTTTGGTGCTTGATACCTGGTCCCTTCAACCCCTTGTGATCACACAGGCTGGTGTGCTTCTTAATGAGTATGTAGATAGACTATCGGGAGTCATGAATTCGTCATGACTACACTGGTAACATAGTTTAATTTGAGGGTAAAGTGTAACTCGGGTAATTAGCACATGTGTTTTGAAAATAGAGTAAGGCATAGTAACATTTCCCTTGGAATCCCTGGGTGGTGCAAACAATGTCCACCCTCACTGCTAGCCAGAAGAGTGGGTGGTCTGAATTCACCCAAAGGCAACTTGGAAGAAAGTCCTGGTGATCCCTTTCCAAACAAGCCACCATTGAAGCCCCTGAAGATCTGCCCGATTCTGAGACCCGTGGGGTAGACCTGGGTTGAATTAACTTGATAGCAACTGGTTTGGTTTTGGTTTTGTTTTTAATTTGATTTTTACTCTAAAATATGAACTAGAAATAAAAACGTGGCAGTGATCACATTCTAACATAGATACATATGATTGTCATATGACCTGCATTTATTATTAGAGCTGGATGTACAAAACCAAGTCTCTATAAAGTTTTAAAATAATGCTTCTTCCTAAAGTATGATGTGTTCCTCACCAGATCTCTACATGGCCCCTCTACCACTAAAAAATAAATAAAAAATAGCCTATTCTAAAATTTAGGAAGAGTTTTTCATGGATATTTGGATATTAAACAACAAATAAACAAACAAACAAAAAAAGCTCTATAACTCTGGTCCAGACTTGCTTATGTTAGTAAACCCAGTTCTATAGCTGTCTTCCTTGATTTTTTTCCTTCTTGTTTACTCTCCTTGAGTTATTATATATATGCAAATTATTTCTAGGTATTTCCCATTTGGATAGTAATAGCAGTAGTAATAACAATAGCAAGAGTATCTAGAATTGAATGTGATCAATTGCAAATGAACTGTTTCCTCCTAACAGAGAGACGATGACAAGGACCACAGGGTGCGTATAGCCATTGGAAATGGTTTGCGGAGTGATGTATGGAGAGAATTTTTGGACAGATTTGGAAATATAAAGATGTGTGAATTTTATGGAGCAACTGAAGGAAACATTTGTTTCATGAACCACACTGGGAAAATCGGATCGGTTGGGAGAACAAATTGGTTTTACAAAGTAAGTACAGTTATTTTACTTTGGAAAAGAAATGCAGCATGATCTTACACACTTTGGACATACTGGCAGAGCATCCAGTCCCCGGAGAAGGACATCGTGCTTGGTACGGTGGAAGGACGAGGGAAAGGGAAAGACAGGATGAGATGGATGGACACAGCGGTTACAGCAGTGGCCTCAGGCACAGGAGCCATTGTGAGGACGGTCCAGGACTGGCAGTGTTCTGTTCGGTGGGTTTGAAGCAACACAGAGGCGTGTAACAACAACAACAAGCTATTGGAATCTGAAAAGTAACCAATTCTGTTCTAAAGGCTCGCAGTTGATCTTCCAACAGCAAAAATGGAAGATAAAAAGAGTGGTCAAGTCTTCTTTAAGCTGCTTAGAGGGGGGGCGGGTGGGAGTCAAATTAGAATTTATACTCAACAAAAATATTTTTCAAAAATTTATAAAGAAAAATCAATAAATCTCCTGGGAGAATAAGCAAATTCAAAACACAATAGCACAAAACACAATAATGGTTCCTTCAGTATTTGATGAATCAAACTGTTAAAAAAAATATCCCTGACTGATATAGAATGAATAATATAGTAAGAAAACCACTTTATGTAATGGACCTATATAATACACTGTATCTAAGCTAAGGAAAACATAGTCATTTCAAGCTCATATATAATATTTTAAAAATTCACTGGGCCACTTGAGGAATTCTTAAACAATCAAAAGATTTAATACCTATGAATTGTTTTTCTCTCAACAATTCAATTAAGGAAGAAATAAGAAAATGACAGTTAGACTACCTCCTTTGTACTTGAAAGTTAATAGTTCCAAAGTCTCATAATCATAGAACAGAAATTAGAGAACATTCCAAACTAAGTCAGAAAGTAACTACTACACTTCAGAGCGTGTGGATTTAGCCAAGACAGCTGAAAATGAGTGAGCGAAGCATCCATCCCTGGAAATTAATTTTTTTAAGTAAATAAATAAGTCCAATGAAAATAAATCGAAGGGAATCATGAAGAACTAACATTAATTAAATTGAAAAGAAGATTTAGTAATGAGGGTCAAAAAGATAAAGTGTGATAATTTTCATTTAAAAATTGATATTGGTTGATAGGGCGAGAAATGGTGCAAATAACTGATACTGGGAATGATATAGATGCTTTACACATTAAGCAATCATTAACAAATATGCTGGATAATTTCATAGCCATAAGTTTATAAATTTAGAATGGGTAAGTTCCTCAAAAAATACACGGTAGTCAAATTGATACATGGTTTCTGTACTTACACTAAGAATTATTGTATCTGATTCAAGAATTCTTTATCACACTAAAATGAATCAATAGTTAAATATCTTCCTTCAATTCCAGAGTTTCCTCCATAATTTGCCAAATATTTGAAGAGCAAATAATCCCAATCTTACAGGGAATAGAAACAACAACATCTAAATTCTCATAACTCATCCAAGATATGAAAATTGCAAGGACAGATATTAGACAGGCTGAAGAATCAACTCGCTGCCATCGAGTCAAAGCTGACTCACAGCAACTGCCGAGACTGTACCTGTTTACACAAGTTAAGAAGCCCTGTCTTTCTCCTGCAGACCTGCTGGAGGTTTCAAACCCCCGACCATGCAGATCGCAGCCCAAGCCATAACCACTATGCCATCAGGACACCCGATGCCAGGCATAGATATACATATTTAGAGAAAGTCTTCATCGGCCAATCATTTCTCTCTGTGTTAGCTATGTTTTATCTGTGGCCTAATGTGGACCCTGAAAGGAGAATGGCACTACAATGGAAGTTTCTAGAGCATGCTCCCAAGGAGATACTAATAACTTCCATTCGTAGAATTGCTTTTTAAAATATCGATAAGAATCCCATAGTGCAAATCTTTGTGATTCTAAGTTACTTACATTCCCAGCTTCTTTAACAGCTTTATTAAAAAAAAAGGTTTGTGTAAAGTAAATGATGTACATCAAAGACTGTCTGGAAGCAACAGAAGAGAAATGTATCTGGTTTTCTAGTCTGTGCTAAGTCTTTCCTGCAGCAGCTGGAAGTCATTGCCATGTGTTTTCACCGTGTAACTGCTTTCTTAGTGAGGCGACTTATTCAAATCTAGTGTAGACTGCTCTACTCTTACGAACTTACAGAGGTGAGCTATTTTTATAATATTTAGGATTTTGAGGGTCTAGTTTTCATCCCAGAAATGCACCTGCAAATTCTGAGCAAAAGTATTTGACGATGTAAGTGGTGATATTACTGAGTTTTACATTTCTTGCAGGTAATTTTCTCAATTTATTGCACTGTTTCCATGACAAATTTAGTATTCAGATTAAGCCTTTCTAGTGAAGATGAGTCATTCCTAAGTAATTATCCAACAGTGCTGTGAGGAAAATTTATATTTTATATTAAAGGCTTGACTTGCTTTATGATTCGAACATTTCAAGTTCCCTGTCAGACCACAAACACTGCTAATAATGCAAGAAGTTATGATTGTTCCGATTTAATTGAAAAACTTATGACCAACACACCTTTTTTTTAAGTTTAGAAAAGAAACAAACAAACAAACAAATAAATGATTCCAATCCTATAAAGATGTTAGCTTTCCTGCTGTGATTCCATTGGCATGGTGCTTCATTACATAGCAGGTAGTTTAAATATGTTAGCCAAGAACCTTCCTTCATCAGTCGATGAGGGGCTTTGATAAGTGTTTCTCCCCCCAAAAAAATATATATATACCTCATGAAGACTTCCACTTACTAGCTCAGCCTCTCAAAAGAGAATGAACGGCACAAATGACAAGAAACCTGAGAATTCCTGGATCTTAAAGATCCTTCCTGTATGCTTTATTTGAATTTAATATTAACTATGAATTTAAATTCATAAAGGGAACACTCCTTAGAAGCAAGGATGGGAAGACGTCGTCTCACGCACATTGGTCATGTTATCAGGGGGAATCGGTCCCAGACGAAGGACATGATGCGTGGCAAAGTGAAGGTCAATGAGAGGAAACCCCTCAGCAAGATGGATTGACAGTGGCTGCAACAATGATAATGAGGACGGCACAAGACCAGGCAGTTTTTGTCTGGTTATAGAGAGAGAGTTGCTATGAGTCAGAACTGCTAGGGGTCAGCACCTAACAGCCATACAAAGGACAGGTACCTCCTGTGTACCGCAAGTTAACACTGTATTGAAATGAGTGACAATGTATTTGAGAACACAAACCGAAGTAGAAGTTGGGGACTGCTTTCTCTTTTATTTACAATCTTCATCTAGAGATAATAATTTGGAAGTGTATTAGTGTCCTAGGGTTACCATAACAAATTACAACAAACGGAATGGCTTACAACAATAGAAATTTATTTTGTCACAGTGCTGGAGGCTAGGTGATCAGCAAAATCCTGCTATCAACCAGACTGACTCCTCGTGGAGACTCGGAGAATCCGCTCTCGGCTTTTCTCCCAGCTTCTGGTGTCCCTTGCCATCCCCATGCCTCACTCCAATTCCTGCCTCCACTTTCACGTGGCATGCCTGGAGGTGGGCAGGTCCCTGTGTCTTGTCCCTGTCTTTTACCAACTCCTGTCACAGTGCCTGAGGGCTTCCCCTGACAGTCTAACCTCATCTGAACTGAATTACAGCTGCAAAGACTCTGTTTCCAAATACAATTCCATTCACAGTACTGGGGCATTGGAACTTCAATCCATCTTGCTAAGGCACACAAGTCATCCCACAAGAGAACTTACAAGGGACTACAGCTTGAAAAATAATGAGAAATTAAATATATGAAGATACATTAAAATAGGAAAGATTCCACAATACCCCCAAGAAAGGTAAACACTGTCCCCCAGGCTTTTAAAATTGCAACAACATTCTTTTTAACAATAAGAACTTAAAGGGAAGAAAGATTCAGGGAAGATATGAATCAATGAAAGGAGTAAAAGTAAACATGCTTAGCTCCAAGGGGAACAGCTATTACAGAGAGGAACAAACACCCCATTAAAGAACTTAAACAAATTATAAGCATTAGTAGGGAACTAGATAGGCTTCAGGAATAACACAAATGCAATAAAATATAAAACCCAATACTTCTTTCCCGTTGATAAGCATCACGTAGAGGTACTGTATCTGGGAACAGACTCTGGGGCTGTGGTCTGGAGAGAAGCTCGCCCACATGCATAGTTTCAAATTAATCAGAAGAAGCAAGCATGAGAGCTGATGTTACCAGTGGTTGGGCCCATTTTCAATCAGTAAAACGTGTTAAAACAGGAGCGAAGGGAGTAAGTAGATAAGGAACAGAGCTCTCCTTGTTTGGTCAGGATGGCAAATGCGGTTTCAGAACTTCTGGGATGCTTTCCCACGAGCCATTTGGAAGGCGACCAATCTCCCGTCACGCCAGTTATAGACAAAGACCAATAGATGGAAGATTACACGTTAATAACGCATGTTTGTGTCCAAGATAACAATATATATGGTGTTTTTGTTGTTATTGTTTTCAGTGTTTTTACTGCTATCTGCATTAAGCTTTACAGAGCACACTGGTTTTTCAATGGTACACTTTTGTTCGGCAACACTGATTAGAACCCCTACGATGTAACAGCATTCTTCCCACTTCTTTCGTGAATTTACTGTTCCCGTTTGCCCTTCTAGCCTGTCCATTCTTGCCCTCTGAGGTTTATCCCAGGGCAAATGCTGCCCTTTTGATTTTGTATGGTTGATTGTTCTAAGGACTGCCTACCTCCCTGGTGTTAGTGTTCTATTGGCCAGTCTGTTGTTTGGCTGAGCATTGACGCACGGGTGGAAGTAATTTTCAGGCCTGAAGGGTGACTAAGTCTTGGGCGTTCTCAGTCTCTGCCAGACCTGAAAACCTGGTCTCTTTGCTGATTTTAAGTTTTATTTCACATTTTCTCCCCCTCCATTCAGGACTCTCTATTGTAAACCCTTTAGAGAAATCAGCAGTGGTAGCAGGTCATCTCCGAGTTTTTCTGGCTTCGGGGCCATGAAGGCTGAGATCCCCTGTAAGGGGCTCAATTGATAAACATTGTTCTCATTTGTACTTTAGTTCTTAAGATAGATTGTGATTCTAGTTATACCTGGTTATGACTAGCCATTGGAAAGTGGGCCATATATTTACAAAGACCAATGGGATGCAATTTTACGTATTAATAAGCCATATTCGTGCCCAGAATAAATATTTCTCTTTTGCTGCCTCTTTCGTGGCTCTCATTTTGCCATTGTTTCTCCATTTTTCATTGTGATTTTAGGGAAGGTTTAGGGAAGATTGCTCAATAGTTAATAGTGTGTTGTTGTTACGGGCCATGGAGTTGGCCGTAATCCACAATGGCTCTGAACCGCAGAACCAAACACTGCATGTCCTGGAGCATCCTCACAACCACTGGTGTGTTTGAGGTCCTGGTTGCAGCCGTGCGTCAGTTCATCTTATTGAAGGGATTCCCCTTTCTCACTGACCGTTTACCTTACCCTGCGTGACTGGTTCCTTCTGACAGCTTGTCTAAAACGAAGTTTGTGATAGTTGTAATTCATAGTTAACACTACATGGCAAGGGCGGGGATCCATGTCAATATCAATCAGCATCAACTAAACAGCAGTGGATTTGGGTTTGGGTTTTAATCGCTGCGCCAAATAAAGTATGGCCTGAAAGTGATCTAGTATGCAGTTACATACGTGAATTGTTTGGGTGCATTGATATCATTCATTCATAATTAAAATTATTAATGCTTTGCTAAGGTGAAGGACAACATAAGCCAATGAAAATACTTTCCATTTTGATTTTCATGTATGTAATTTTTCATAAAGTTACTTGCTTTATTAAATCTACATCCTATTTTTTTAATTGACAGGACAGATTCTACCATCAGTAGATACCATTACATAAATAACTAAATGATCATTTTTGTTTCATTTTTTTGCAGCTTTTTTTCTCTTTTGACTTGATAAAATATGATTTTCAGAAAGACACACCCATTAGAAATGAGCAGGGTTGGTGCAGTAGTGTGAAAAAAGGTAAGATTCTTGTATTTGAAGATGTTTCCTCAAGCAAAACACATTTTTAACTACTACAAAATCTAGGGAAAATGGGTGGTTATGTCTACTGTGTAATTTGACTTGTTTAGCATTGTACTGAAGATGGGAATGTTTAACAATTAGATTTTATGAGCTTCAAGTGGGTCACTTAGGTGGTAAATTAGTAAAATGTGAAGTGACCTTTGCAAACTAAAAGTGGTACCTTAAGAAAAATATGAGAGCACCAATAAGTGACCAACCCTTAACACCTGTCGCTCCTGGGGATGTAAATGAACACAACATGAAATGGAGGTGACGCTTGTAAGTCAGGCGGAACTGGTAAAGTTCTAGCTGCCATACTTGGTAGCATTAAGGACATTGGGCAAATGACTTTTCTGCCTCAGTCTTGTCACCTGTCAGATGAAGCTAAGATAAGCCCTAACTTAAAGATTTGCCCTGAGGGTTAGACTGGACATATATAAAGCTCCTAGAATAGTTCCTGGAAAATAAGAAGTGACCAGTAGAAATATCCACGCAGAGAATGAGTACTTGTAGTAATAAAGGTGACAAGAATAACAATGATGTGAGTGATGACAGGGCCTTGGCTGTCAGTGGCAGCTGTGCCCTTGGAAGCCCCAATGTCAAGAGGAGGGGAGCAGTGAGACTTGACTAGAGGGTTAGGATGACGTATCACTTGACAGTTTGCTGGAACCCACCCCAAGTGGCTATTGTGTCTCTACAACAAGGCAAGCCTACTGTGAAGATTACGAGACAAAGTCTATGACTTTTGAGATGCCTGGCTGGAAAATTATTTCAGTAGATGTGTCTACCTATAAATAAAACTAATAAGGGCTGCTGATTTTGGGGGTCAAATCCTCTAACTGAGGATTTCCAGAATAACATCGCAAAGGGAAAAAAACATTTTCTTAAATAACAATATTTTGATGGAACCAGAAATAATATTCTATAAAAACCTTTTTTGAAAAAAATCATAGAGACTTGACTGTGGGTTTTAGAGACTCATTTCTTTCTATCTGTTGGGATGGAGCAACTTCACCCTAATACTTCCCTATGAAATAGGGATTATAAATTTTAAAACTTTTCTGTGAAGAATAAACAAGATAGTTGCAAAGGGCACATGGCATTTGACATTTGGTATGTGCCCAACAAGTATGACAACCACCATCATTTTCTTAAAATTACTATTATGATGCTTTCTATAGAGTTGTCATGATGATTAGGATGGATCCCTACACAACCCCAAAACAAAAAATAGCTATTTATTTATCCACCTAGTATGTAAAAAAAATGTAATACATCTTTTTTTTTATAGTCAATTCCCCTTTGGTTTGAGAAATAATCTGTGGTGTGGCAAGCTGTGAAGAGGTGCACTGTCACCTGAGTAAGTGAGGTCAAGTGTATTAAAATTCAGGGCAACATAAGCTATGCAGCACTGGTTTTGTTAGCCAGATATAATTGAGTTAGAAGACTGTGCAATGCAACAACCTAAATCAGATGGTTGGAAAAATGCCCTTCTTTGTCTCTCACAGGAGAACCTGGACTCCTAATTGCTCAAGTGAGTGCAAAGAGTCCATTCTTTGGTTATGCTGGGAATAAGAAGTACACAGAAAAGAAGTTGCTTTGTGATGTTTTTAAAAAGGGCGATGTTTATTTTAACACGGGAGACTTAATGGTGGAAGATCAAGATTTCCTTTACTTTTGGGATCGGACTGGGGACACTTTCAGGTATGAAATATCACAAATGCACTGCCTATTCTATGACCGGGAGCCATGCTCCATGCAAGGCTCTATGGGAATGCTGCAGCCCACATGCTCTTTTACCTCCAGGCATTTTACCTGCACAGCCTCTCCCCCATTCAAAAATCTGTCCACCATGTGTGTCTAGATTGAATCACAAATCAAATTTTTATAACCATTGTAGGAAATCACTTTGGTCCAAACCAGTGAACTAGTTTGAAAGAATCTATAATAGGTGGGTGGATATAATAGAAGGATTCAAACAGAAAACTCAATTTGATCAAATGTGGTGTAATTCTTGAACTACTTACTGGTAAAAACATAATAATTGAAATAGCAGAGTTTCCTTTTTTTAATTCCCCCAAAATATTTTATGTTTGTTCATTTATTCTGCTTTACTAGTAAAGTTCTATAGACTAGTTAGGGGCATACAGTTGGAATTGAGCAGCCAAATTCGGAAAACATTTGAGTGAATTAATGAATTATCTGAGTACTTCCTCGCTCCTTACCTTCTGATATTCTCTTATAAACTCACGATGTAGAAAAGTACTTTACTTAAAGTAAAATATTAATTCCTATGTACTAGAGAAGCCGAGCTAATTAATTTTAGAATTTAGAAGGAATCAATATACTGAAATGGAACTATAGTTTCACTTTTCAATTTTTATATCCCTGTCTTTAGAAATAAATAATGCTTTGCATTTACATTTTTCCATTACTACATAATGGGGGATTAGCCTTATTTCATGGCATTTTATAATGGGCAATCTACATCAGCTAAACATGGAAAAAGTAATTTTAACTAGAACCAGACCCTGACTTTGTTCAATTACCAACCATTCACTTCTTTGAAATGCCCTTTATTTTGAAAACACTCAGTATCTTTGGTCACTAGGTCCTTGCACAGAGCCAAAGGCAAAGACTAAAAGTAAAATGGGGTCCCTGCCTCCTCAAATACAGCTCAGTAACTGGAATTTGCTCTGATTTAGATGGAAAGGAGAAAATGTTGCAACCACAGAGGTGGGAGATGTTATTGGAATGTTGGATTTCATACAGGAAGCAAATGTGTATGGTGTGGCGGTGCCAGGTATGAATATATTTCAGTTTTTGAAAGGGTTTTCAGAGTACAATATGCCACCATTCTTTAATATTGTCTCTGTCTTACTGACAGAACATTTTAATTTAAGTATTAAGATAAACCAATCAATAAGAAAACCAACATCTTAGCCTTCGTTTTTGCAGGAAATACTAGTTACCAAGCTTGCACATCAAGAAAAAAGTAAAAAACCAGATTTTTAATGTGATTTGTTTTTGTTTTTTATTTTTTAGTAAATCTTAAAAATTCAGGTCAATGCTCATAGCTTTAAATAGTTTCACACGTTTTCTATAGTCTTTCTCTCCCCCCCCCCCACTCTTTATAACTGGTGTTTATACATCCCACTAAACAAGAACATGTTATAGTTTAAATGTCTAATCGCACTAACGTACTTAAAGTAGGTCTTTGTTCCAAGACCCAAGAGTCAGATTTGAGTCAAGGTCAGTGAGTTTTTCCAGATGTTTCACCATTGAACTATTTTAAAAGATTATTTCTAATCTGTTTGGGCACATTTGTCTTTATAACTATGCTTGTGAAGATTCGTTCATGATAGTGAAAGTGGAATGCTGGAGTGACCACTGTAAAGTCACAAGACAGATGTTCCCTTTCACTACCATTTTATACAAATGATATTGTCCAGAAGACATCCGGGGAGTGGGGTGGGGTGGGGATGGGTGGCGGGGGTGTGTCTAGGAGGGTGGAGATAGGGGAATTCTCTTTCAACAAACAATCACTGGGTGTTACAATTTTTTAGAAGCACATGAGGTCTGACCCATTGGAAAGAGTCCTTGGTTACAGGATAAGGGGGAGGTAATCTGTGAAATTAGTTACGGAAACACCAGTTGCCATGTTCATAAATTAAAAACATATTTCTTGAAAGTAATGCTTAAAATGCCTATTTACGCTAGAATACGCCTGTGTGCGCACACCAACCTGGTAGCTGTCAGGTCGGTTCCAGCTCATAGAGACCCTGCAGGACAGAGAAAACTGCTCCACGGCCATGTGAAGACTGTACTCCTCAGGCAAGCAGACTGGTGCATCTTTCTGCCTCGTGAGCGGCTGCTGTGTTTGAACCACCAACCTTGCAGTTAAGAGCTGAGAATTTAATCACCATGCCAGCAGGGCTCTTTTGTTGGAATTTAGTTATCTTTAAATAAATATTGTCTTAATGTTCTTTATTTGTGGTGGTAGGATACAAATTATAGGTCGTTTGTAATATTTTCTCTCACATTTATTTCATTTCTATAGAATAAGCAATCCCAAGTCTTCTCTGTTACTAAATTTCGAGGGAGTATGATGATATGCATGCTAGGCCTTGGATGGTTTACATGATTTATCTTTGACTAACTTAGGAACTCGATTGGCACAGTGGGCTATGAGTTGGGCTACTAACCAAAAGGTTATCAGTTCTAAAACACCAGCTGCTCCTTGTGAGACACGTGAAGCTTTCTACTCCTAGGAAGAGTTAGAGTCCGGGAAACACACAGGGTAATTCTACCCTGTCCTGTAAGCCCACGATGAGTCAACACTGACTATATGGCAGTGAGTTTGACTTTTTGCTTATGAACCTAAAGAGAGAGAGTCTGAACCCACGCTGCAGCAGTCTGCGATCTGTTTCCATAAAAATCAATACCCAAGAAAACCCTGTGTAGCAGCCCCATTCTGCAACACCTAAGAGAGCTGTGAACCCAAACCAACTGAATGACAGTGGGCGTGCTTCTGGTTTCATATAATAGTTTCAGGGAAGGACACAGACATGTGGGTGTATTATACTGGGTTGCTGTTGCTTTGATCGAGTTAATGTCTGTATTTGTGGTGATTAAGGAGCCCATGAGTTAGACTGTGGGTTGCTAACAAAAAGGTTGATGGTTCAAACACCAGCTGCTTCATGAGAGAAAGATAAACTGTCTGCTCCTGTAAAAAATTATAGTTTTAGAAACCTATATATGGTCACCAGGCGTCAGAATCAAATTAATTGCAGTGGACTTGATGTTGGTATGAGTGACAATTAGTGTGTAACCAGACACATTTTTAAATGTAACAATCCAGTATTCATCAAAATTGACACTATTTTAAACTTTTTTTTTCAGATTATGAAGGAAGAGCAGGAATGGCTTCAATTATTTTAAAACCAAATAGGTCATTAGACTTGGAAAAAGTTTATGCTCACGTTGTAGCATTTCTACCAGGTTATGCCTGCCCACGGTTTTTAAGAATTCAGGTAATTTAACTCTTTGAATTTATGTGTCAAAGGTAAGGCCAGGACACCAGGAGATGATTGAATTACAAAGCATTGGGACACCCTTCAGATAATGTGTGCATTTCATTCAGACTGGAAAATTCCAAGACTAGTAATGAAAAAGCAATGGGATGCAGAGTTGATGCTAATTTATTCCATATTGAAGCATTATTATAGAAGAGGGTAAGATGAGATGCAAGGACATCTTTGTCTGAGGCCTAATAATAGAATCGCCCTCTTCCTCTTGAGGCAGATCTCCTAGCACACGATGGTTTCAGTGATGGTGGCCAGCCACAGCACTTCTTACGTGAACTGTCTTATGATATTGATGAGCTGTGCCTAAAATTAGGTGCCACCACAAGTATACAGCAAGCATCTCAAGTTATGTGCACAACCTACATGCAGTTGGCGCTAGGCTATCCTGCTTTCAGTTTGCACTCGCTTCTCCCCTGGGAATGAGGGTCTCTCCTCTTAGAATACAAATGTACTCAGCTACTGAACTAACATTCCTGTCTATTTAGTCAGCCATTCATTTATTTAATCCTGTACTGCCAATATCATTTTTCAAAACTAGTACTCATGCTCTGTTAACAACATCCAACGCCAGGGTTTCTTTTTGGTGGGGGTAGTATATTATATTGCTATTCAATACTTCCAAAGGAGCCTGGGTGGTGTAGTAGGTCATGTGTTTATCAGCAGTTCAAAACAACTAGCTGTTCCATGGGAGACAGATGAGATTTTCCACTCCTTTAAAGAGTAGTGTCTCCAAAACTCAGACTAGCACTTCTCTGTCCCAGCAGATCGCTTTAAGTCAGAATTGACGCCATGGTAGTGAGTTGAGATGCCTAAAAGAGCAATAGAAGGCTTCACACTCATTTGTAGAGAATTACTGAGTCGTCTTCATGTGCAAATCCGTGAATGGCCCACAGGCTACACAACCAGAAACACATTTCACTTGCATAATAGTGTAAGAGCTTTTACATGCATTGTCTCAGATTATTCTTATAGCAAACATCTGACATAATAGAGGTAAGTGAATGAAAGCAGAAGTAATATATTTTAATGAGAATTTTATTGAGATAACTGCTGATTTACATGTGATTGTAAGAAACAATACAGATTCATCCTATGTATAATTTACCCAGTTTCCCCCAAGGGTAACATTTTACAAAGCTTCATTTTCACAGTTAGGATATTGATACTGATTCATTGATACAGTCAACCCATATCCCCAGTTTTACTTGCACTCATCTCTGTGTGTGTGTGTGTCTGAGTATAAGTTCTATATACTTTTGATACCTTTAAAAAATTTTTTAATTTATTTATTTATTTTTAAAATCATTTTATTGGAGGCTCATACAACTCTTATCACAATCTATACATACATCCAGGTGTCAACCACATTTGTACATTTGTTTCCATCATTCTCAAAACATTTTATTTCTACTGAGCCCTTGCTATCAGCTTCTCATTTTTCTCCTCCCTCCCCACACCCACTCCATCATGAACTTTTGATAATATATAAATTATTATTATTTTGTCATGTCTTACACAATCTGACGTCTCCCTTAACCCACTTTCCTGTTGTCGGTCCTCCAGGAAGGGGGTTATATGCAGATCCTTGTTAACAATTCCCCCTTTCCAGCCCACCCTCCCTCCACCACCACCCCTCCCCCAGTATCGCCACTCTCACCACTGGTCCTGAAGGGATCATCTGTCCTGGATTCCCTGTATTTCCAGTTCCTATCTGTACCAATGTGCATCCTCTGGTCTAGCCGGATTTGTAAGGTAGAATTGGGTTCATGATAGTGGTGGGGTAGGAGAAAGGAAGCATTTAAGAACTACAGGAAAGTTGTTTCATTGTTGCTACCCTGCACCCTGACTGGCTTGTCTCCTCCCCGCAACCCTTCTGTAAGGGGATGTCCAGTTGCCTACAGTTGGGCTTTGGGTCCCCACTCTGCATGCTCCCTCATTTACAATGATATGATTTTTTGTTCTTTGATGCCTGATACCTGATCCCATAGACACCTCATGATCACACAGGTTGATGTGTTTCTTCCATGTGGTCTTTGTTGCTTCTCAGCTAGATGGCTGCTTGATTATCTTCAAGCCTTTAAGACCCCAGATGTTATATCTTTTGATAGCTGGGCACCATCAGCTTTCTTCACCACATTTCTTATGCACCCATTTATCTTCAGTGATCATGTCGGGAAGGTGAGCATCATGGAATGCCAGTTTAATGGAACAAAGTGTTCTTGCTTTGAGTAAGTACTTGAGTGCAGGCCCAATGTCCATCTGCTACCTTAATACTAAACCTATAAATATATGCACATAGATCTATTTCCCCATCATCATATATAAATATATTTACATATGTACATGCCTGTAATTCGACCTCTATAAATGCCCTTTGCCTCCTAGTTCTTTCCTCTATTTTCTTTTACTTTCCTCTCTTCCCACTATCATGCTCAGCCTTCATTTGGGTTTCAGTAATTCCTCTCAGTGATGTTGCCCTTGATCAAGCCCTACAAGTTCACATACTCACCACCACAGTCAAGATATCAAACAATTCCAACACAAGTATCCCTTATATTGGCTTTTTGTCCTCACATGCCCAGCTGACCTCCCACCAAGGAATATATTTTGATGGAGTAGAAAATTGATTGATTGACTACTGTAGTTTAAACATTTCCCCCTAGGGTAACTTATTGAAAGTTCACTTTCATTAAGCAGAAGAAATATTTTGACACAACATTACTTTAGATAACTGACCAGGCTTGTGCACATTTTGAAAATATTTTAGGAATGCTAAGCACCTCAAAAGAGCCAAGATGGTGGCTCTTGTTCATCATTGTGCTCACTTAGTTCCCACCATGAGTGATGCTGAACAACAGTCAGAGATTAACTTGACAAACAACGTGAAATAAATCACCTGATATAGGCAATGAAAGGGGGAAAGAAAGTACTTCTGACAATATGACTAAAGCAATGACTTTGAGAAATCTATTTAGCACAAATTAAAAGAAACTCCAAGAAATCACTGCTATTAAGTCAATTCTTTGTTACAGTGATCCTACAGACAGGGTAGGACAGCCTTTGTGAGTTTCTGAGCCTGTTGTTTGCCTCTTCGTGAGAGAAGACAGCCTTTGTCTGTCTCCTACAGTGCAGCTGGTGGTTTTGAAGTGCTGACCTTGCAGTTAGCTGCCAAGGCACATCCAATTCTGTGAAGCTTAAACCTTGGGTTTGTTTACACATATGGGCAAAGATGCCCAAGATACCCATAAAAATGTGCTTGGGCCTCTCAGCAAGGTTGCTTTTCAGTTCCCTAGAATCTCAAAAAGAGATATATTCTCTATCTCCCTGACACCCTTTAGAAAGACATTCCCAACCTTTTTATATCAATAGCATTTTTAGTGCTCATGGATAATCTAAACATGAATCAAGCAGAATAGTTAAATGTTCTAGAGGTCATTTTCTGTTACGATTAAAGAAGTTCCTAGTAAATGAAGGTATGCTCATGAGATATTAAAGTGATAAAATATATAAAATTATTATTTTATATATTATTTAAATATATTGATAAATGTATTATAACTACCATCGATAATATTAAATTATTGGATTCCTCATGATTGTTCTTTAGGACAAAATGGAAAGAACTGGCACCTTTAAACTACAGAAGTTTCGGCTGGTAGAAGAAGGATTTAACGCACTGAAAATTTCTGATCCACTTTACTTTCTGGATAACTTGAAAAAATCTTATGTTCCATTGACCAAAGAACTTTATGAACAAATTATGTTAGGGGAGATAAAACTTTAAAATATTGTACATATAGGATTTTCATATGCTTCAGTAGAAGCAGTGAGAGAGGAAGTAATTTTTTTCATTATGAAATGAGGAAAAGGAACATTAATTAAGCAAATGTTATGTTAATCTGAAAGAAGGTTCTTTATTAAGAAATTTAATAGCTTTAAGTGGTATGAATTTTAATAGATTTTTAACACATTTTTGAACTCAGTACATAACTAAACACTTGCCTTAATTTTATAAAGATTTTAAAGTAAATATTTAATAGTTAACAATTTAGATACTAAAAATGTACTTCATAATATTGAAAGATTCTAGTTTTGAATGAATGAGTTTTACTAAAATATTTGATTTTTATGTGTCCTATAATTAAATAAAAAACATATTCAATTATTTTGTGTGCTTGAGGTTTTTTTCCTCTCTTAATTTTACTGGTAAACTTATAGTCAAAGTGATATAAGGAAGTGGAAGAACTAGCCTGCTGGTAATCAATACTAGAAATATAACAATTTAAGATATAATTTGTTAAAAATACAAAATGTAACAACTCTCTCCTTTATAGAAAAAAATGTCCTTTTAAGCTTAATCAGCAGGGATGTTCCAACTCAGGAACAAAAAGAATTAACCCAATTCAGATAAACAAGGAGACATGAGGCTTCAGGAGGTGGTGCTCAAACGCTGGAGAAATGTTAGTGGAGATAATTCCCTAATGATCATTGCAAACCCTGCCTTCTTACCGTATCTGCCTCCTGGACACATTGTAAAAACCTGATACTCTCTTCTTGTCACCATTGTCAAACAAACTGCTTCTTGTATATGGCCCTGGAGGGTCAGGACTGAACTCTGAAACAGCTCAGAGGAGAAACCTGACTGTTTTCCTTCTGCAAGCACTTGCTTGGATCCCCTTAGAATTCTGGGAATCAACCTGGTCTCTGCTTTTGGCTAATACGGTGCAGTCTGACAACAAAGGAAGTTAAATACATAGATCCTCTTTTTTTTAATTCACATTAAAATGATCTAAAATGATAGGTTAAATATCAATTGTGAAGCCATAAAGCAGAAAAGAACTTGTAAGACTGAAGTATTTATGATTATTTGGAAAATAATAAGATCAAATTGACAATAAAACCTAACAGAAGGTTAGAATCTTCTAATAAAACAAGGAAAGAATGGACTAGTATAGGTTCTTGGCAGCAATACCAAGAGCAGAGTCAGAAAGGGCTGGGATTTTGACCTGGTTAGTGAAGAGCTGAATGGAAAACTCATAAGAATAATGTAATATCAACAATTGTGTTTCTCCCAAGCTGGAAGAGTGTGTTAGTCTGGGTAGACTAGAGAAACAAATTCATAGATACTCATATGTGTATAAGAGCTTTATATTCAAGAGCAATTGAATATTGAGAAAACATCCAGTCCAATGCAGATCAAGTCCATAAGTCTGGTATTAGCCCATATGTCCAATACCAATATATAAATTCCTCTTTGGACCCACGAAACACATGCAATGATGCCAAATGCCGGATGACCATAGGCCAGTGGTTGGAAAGTCTTGTGAATCCAGTGGTGGTGGAAGCCTCTCAGCACAGGCAAGGGTCTCCACGTGGCTTCCCAAGCTCCGAGGCTCTGGCTGCCATTAGCCTGTCTCCAAGTGGCTTGTCAACAAGAATGTCTCGCAAGGGCTGAACATCTGTGCCGTATCCACCGAGTTATTTATGTCCTTAGCGCCTCCAGATAAGGTCATCAAGTTGTGACCCAATCGGCAGGCCAAGCTCTTCCCTTTTACTCGTAAGTCTCCAAATTGACAACAGATTATTTGTCAATTATCCAAGCTCAAATGGTGCTTTAAAGCTAGGGTCAGGGCACGACTCTCTTAGTGCAGTGAGCTGTCTTCTGCAGAAGGGAGTTTGGGGTCTGGATTGAGAAGGAAACCATGTAGACGTACCCAACAAGGAGCTCATGTGCCCAGTGACCTCGTTCCCTGTACAACCAGGAGGAAAGTGCGCCTCACCCTTGGATCCTCCATGATAAAGAGTTTATTTGGGTTGAAGGAGAAGTAGAAGATGGTCATGTTTATTATCGTTTGAAAATGAGCATCATAATGTTAAAGCACATTTAAAAGGAGAAATTTAACAAAAAATTTGAACTGCATAGAAATAGGTCAGATGTTGAAGTTAAAAAAGAAAATGTAATCAATTTGGTAAAAGTCAGGACAGAAGTTGAAGGGGGAAAAACACACACAAGAAAGCATGATAAACAGAAAATAAATAAGTCTAAGCACACTCATTATTACTACATGAAATGTGAAATGATTGATTTCCTTCACTTAAAAGCCCTAGGTGAATAAATTGATTGATCATTTTTATATTGATAATTGGGCTGTTCCTAACTTTTTCCATTTAAAATAAAGCATCTCATTATATTTCTATACATGTTGCCTGACTGACAAATACTCTTTAGCTTCTCTAAATCTTGATGAGTTTTTTCTCCCAGTATCTGGCTCTTTAAACATTGGGGAGATTGGGTCATTTTGGTGAACTAAAAAAACTCACCCACCCTTCCAGTTATAATCTATTGTAATGAAAAACAAAATTTTATAAAAAGAACAATTCATTTTTTAAAAAGAGGAAAAAGGTGTCAGCGGCACATGAGAATTTACTGGAAAATAGAAAACAGGTGGAATTAAATGATCAAAGAAAAATGTAGGAAGGAGGGGAAAGGAATGCTTCAAATGTATGGAGATGAAACTGACCTCCAACATTAATCCCAACAGCAGAGCAGACGCGTGCAAAGCCAAGTGGGGCACCTGTGTAATTATTAGGTAATTCATCATAGAACACTGAGGCCAGGTGGTTCCTTGTTTTCTTTTCTATATAGAAAACTTGCATCACAAAAAAAACCCCCAAAAAACAGTGCTAGAGCCATAAAATATAACTACCAGTCTGGTTCTTATACTACCTTCCCTCCTCCACCAAGTAATATAGCTGCTTTCTTTTAACTGTTCTCTGTACCATCGCCTAATATTTGTTAGTGTAACACCTTTACACGTGTGCTTGCCTCCTAATTTAAAATACTGTACTGCATGTCGATGTAACAGTGGAGTGTCAAGGTCTCGAGTCAGGGCCTCCTGTGTCTGAGACCCTGATGACGGGGCATTCACGTTCGGCCAGGACTGGCCCTGACGGACTAACCCCAGGGGTAAGGAGGATTACCTTGAGCCCTTCCTGCAGTGTTCACCCAGTGCTTTTCTCTAGTCCTCCTTCTGTGTGTGTGTGTGTGTGTGTGTGTGTGTGTGTGTGTGTGTGTGTGTGTGTGTTTTAAATGGGAATCTTCTTTTAAGATGTAATTTCTAAAGTTCAACACAAAATTAAAATGCTTTATTTGTGGTGATGTATATAATAACAACAAAAGACTGGAAAAGAAGAGCACATTGAATTAAAGACTTGTAAGACAAAAGGTGATATATTAAAATGACTTTTTTATAAAGCTAGAAACAAGGAGAGAGTCATTAACAAGCAGGGGAAAGTTATTTACTGTTATTTGTAGCATATAACAAATACTCAAATACTTAACATTTAAAAAAATACTCAAAGGGGGAGTGGGGAACCAATAAAAACAGGTCCGTTAGAAACCTGTCTGAGATGGAAAACTAATACAGGCATGTGTGACTTCAGTGCATGATATGGACATTAAATAAGGCCTCATTTGTTTTAGACACTGGAGGAACTCCATGGTATTTATACAGGAGAGGTGAGCGGTCACTAGTCAAGTCCAGAACTTGTACCACCGCCTGCCCCCAAACCGCGAAAACTTGGTCTTGGTTGCCGGTGGTCCTGCGTGACAGTGGCAATCGCCTGTCCCCACGCATCCACTGTCCAGTTGGCCCCCTCCCATGCCCCAGCGGGCTTGCTTTCCTTCCTTTCTGCTGGAATTGCCCCCACCAGGGCTTATGGATTTTAAACTCTCCCAGCCCTACTAACGCTCCCTCACTTTGACCTCCTTCCCCAGGCTGCCTTTCCAATCCCTTCTCCCATCACTGCTACATCCTGGGGTGTCTGGTGAGGGAGCACACCCGCAAAGGAGCACAGAGGATCGGGCCAGGCATTACACAGGCCCCTGGGCTAATGGAGCAGCAGACGCAGCTCAGCTCCCTGGTCAGTGGGTTTTGCAGTGTTGAGGTCACCCTACCTGGAGCCAGGAT